AAGGTCGCGACGACGCCCGGCGGCGCGCGCGTCCGCGGGTTGAAGATCCAGGGCAGGCGCTCGCCGACGACGAACGTGTGGCGGAGCGGGTGCGCCGCGCCCGTGAAGAGCGACTCGACCTGGAGGCGCCACTCGGCCTTCTTCGTCGGCGCCTCGACGCCCAACGCGCTGCGCGCCTCGCGCCGCTTCTTCTCGAGGCGCTTCATCGCCGCCATGGACGCCGCGGACGACACGAGCCGGACCTCGACGGCGTCCGGCCCCGCGGGGCCGATCTCCGCGACGGCGAAGGCGGCGCCCGACCGGGCCGACGCGTCGACGGCGACCGTCGAGAGGTAGACCTGGGCCAGGTTCTCGAGCACGTTCGCCGGGAGCGGCAGGCCGCCGACGGTGAACGTCGACCGGCCCCGGATCCAGACCTCGGGCGACCGCAACGCGAGCGCGCCGTTCTCCGCGGCGAGCGTGAGGATGACGGTGAACGCGACCTCGTCCTCGGTCTTCCCGACCATGCGCACGCGCGGGCCGCCCGGCGCGTCGCCGACGACGGTCGTCGCGAACTCGAAGGCCGTCGCCTCGCCGCACTCCGCCAAGAGCCGCGCGACGAGGCGCCCGAGGAAGTCGTGGAGCAGCGAGCTCGCGTCGGCGTCGGCGCCGGAGATGACGGCCGTCGCGCGCAGCGAGCCGCGGCGGCCGCGCGTCAGCACGCGCGTGTGCAGGTTCGTGATCTCCGCGCGGAGCTCGCTCAGGCGGAGCTTGGGCGTCGGCGCGCGCGCGTAGCCGAACCACCGGACGTCGCGGCCCTCGTAGTGGATGACGTCGGCGCAGACCGTGCTCCGCCGCCGCCGGCCCTTGACGGCGCCGTCGAAGTCGCACGTCTCGGGCGCCGCGGCGACGACCGTCGCGTTCGCCGCGTCCAGTCGATTCCGCGCGACCTGCTCGCGGACCCAGCCCCGGACGCAGAACTCGGTGAAGCGGCTCCGGATCGTGCGCCGGCCCTTCTCGACGGTGCGGTCGTCGTCCCAGACGACCGGGAAGCTGTCGCGCACCGGCGCCTTGAACAGGGGGCGGCCCACGCCGAGGCGCGGCGCGAGGCTCGAGAGGGCGAGGGCCGAGTGGGCCAGGGCCGCGGCGACGAGGCGACGAGCCATGCTGCGCGCGTGGTGGCAATTTAGAGGCTGCGCGCCATCGCCTTGCTACGACGGCGCGGGCCTGAAGCTCTTACGAGCACACGGGCTGATGAGGTGTCTCGTCGACTCGGTTAATTAAAAAGATCGGCGCTCGCCGATTGCCGCGCGCCACGGCCGGCAGCCGCGCGACACGGCAGCCCACGTGGGACCGAAAAACGAAAAGAAAAGACCCTTACCCGAGCCGCGCCACGCGTCGCCCTACTTGCCGCGGGGCGTGGGCTTCCAGCCCTGGGCGTCGAGGTTCTTCTTCGTGCGCTGCATGCACTCGGCCATGGCCGTGTGGATGTCCGGGATGCGCATGTCCGGGAGGGCGTTGACGAGCTTGGAGCAGTCGAGCTCGTTGTTGGAGCGCTTGGCGGCGAGGATCTTGTTCTGCTCCTCGACGGTGAAGTTGGACCACGTGAAGTCCGGGTCGACGTACTTCTTGTACTGCTCGAGGCACTGGTTGTGGCTGATCGCGCCCGGGTTGCAGAAGTTGTAGATGCCCGCGAGCTCGCGGCGGCTGAGCTCGAGGGAGCAGGGGAGGAGGTCGTGGAGCACGGTCATGCTGTTGGGGATGTCGACGACCTTCTCGTACTTGGAGATCTTCGTGATGAAGTTGCGCGGCGAGAGGTCGTCGGAGATGGGCATGCGCACGCGGAGCACCGTGAGGTGGTCGAGGTAGGCGCGGAGCATCTCCTCGACGAAGCCCTTGGTCATGGAGTAGTAGGAGCCGTCGAAGTTCGCGCGGTCCTCCTCGGTGAAGGCCGTCTCCACGCCGCCGCCGAGCGGGTGCGCCGCGTCGTACTCGAAGATGCAGCCCGTCGCGTAGAGCGTGCAGTGGAGCTTCTTCTGCCAGCAGATGTCCGCGAGGTTCAGGCAGCCGATGACGTTCGTGCGGATCACCGTCTGCTTGTTGAACTCGCACCAGTCGACGTTCGGCCGGCCCGTGACGCCCGCCGCGTTGAGCACGCGCGTCGGCCGGACCTTCTCGATCTCGGCGAGCACGGCCTCGCGGTTCTCGAGGCGCGCGTCGCCGAGCACGACCTCGTCGCCGTTCGCGCGCGCGAGCTCGATGAGCATGCCGCCGATCCAGCCGTTCTTGCCGTAGAGGAGGAACTTGTGCTTGCCCGCCACGGGCGCCGTCGACGGCGACAGCGCGGCGGCGACGCTCTCCGTGACGCTGTTGTACAGGCTCGAAATTTGCTCAGCCATGTTGTTGGTTTTTGCGCAGGCGCCGAGATTTTGCGGCAGCGAGGTCGCTGCTGATGCCAGGCAACATCGACTCGATGCAGCCCGGTGGCCCGATGTAATGTTCGAATTTCCAACAGCGTGAGGAGCCATGCGCCGCCTGGCCGCCCTGTTTTTGAGCGCCGCGGCCCTGACGCCGAAGGCGCCGGCGCCGGCGCCGCCGCCGACGCTGACGAGCGAGGCGTACCGCGTGGCCAGCGCCTTCGACAAGAAATTGAGCGTCTGGTACGCGTCGTACTACTACGGCCTCGGCACCGCCTACCGGCGGACGGGCGAGGCGGTCCTCGGCGCCGTGCTCGCGCTCTACGGCGGCGCCGCGCGGCGCTGCGTCGCCTTCGGCCTGCCCGCGGCCGCGGCCGCGCGCGCGCTGCCCCGGTGCGGCTCCGAGGCGACGGCCGCGGCCGTCTGGGTCGCCGCGGCGGCCGCCGCGGGCCACCGGGCGACGCCGCGCTACGCGCTCGCGGGCCTCGCGGCGCGCCGCGGCGCGCGCGCCGTGCTCCGGCGGCCCCTGCGGCTCCCCGCGGCCGCGGCGCCCCGGGGCCGGCGCCGCGGACGGCGGCGCCGCGCCAAGGCCGCCGCGGCCGCGGCCGCGGCGCCGCGCGGCGACGCGCGCGGCCTCGCCGCGTGCGCCGCGGCCGTCATCTCCGGCGTTGCGGCGCTCCTACGTCCCCTCGACTGCGCCGCCGTGCTCGTGCACGTCGCCGGCGCGAAGATGCTGCTCTCCGCGCTCTCCGCGCTCTGCTCGCTCCACCTCGCGGGCCGCTACTCGTTCAGCCTCGAGTCCTACCGCTACGCGGCGGTCTGCGCGCGCCTCGCCTACGAGAAGGCCTACGTCGCCCTGCACCGGCTCCGGCGCCGCGCGGCCGCGCGGCCGCCGCGACGCGCGCGGCGCGGCCTTTCGGTCCCGGGCCGGCGCCTCGTCGCCGCGCTCCGCGCCGCCGCGCGCCGCGACGAGCCCTACGCGCCGCCCGTGCTGCGCGCGGCCCTCGAGCGCCTCGGCCGCGTCGTCCGGGACACGTCCCACTGGACGCTCGGCGTCGCGTGCTTCGCGAAGCGGCGGCCGCCGCCGCGCGCGCTCCGCGCCGCCCTCGCGCCGGTCCTCGCCCTCGAGGCGGACCTCGCGGCCGTCGGGCGGTAACGAAGCCGAGTGCCGGGAGCGAGGTGGGTCGGGGACAGGTGCAACAATGCACCTTGAACGTGTAGAAGCGTCGACGGGGCAGGTGCAACAATGCACTTGAACTTCAACGAAGCATCGGTGCATCGATGTTGGGCCCGACCTTTTCGCGGCGCTCTCTTGCTCTCGCGTCGGCCGACTGCTCGGCATACAATTCTGCCCACCCGGGCAGCCATGGGCCGCTTCGTCGTCGAGTACAGCACGCTGGCGCCGACGCGCGCGCCGCTGGACCTCGTCGAGGACCTGCACGACACGCCGCGCTTCGGCGGCAGCAGGGGCTTCGACGTCGACGAGGAGTACTGGTACTTCAGCCTCGACCAGCGTCCTGCGGCCGTGACGATTTTCGAGAGCTTTCGGGTGGGAAAACAAAATCGTGACCGACGCGCTTGGTAGGCCTCGACCTCGCCTTCGCCATCGGCATCATCTTCGCGGCGCTGCTCGCGTTCTACATGGCCTGGGTCTTCGGGCGGAAATGCTGCTGGAACTGCCAGCGGTCCGTCGAGCGGTTCGAGCGCGGCTGCGTCGGCGAGCGCACGGCGAGCGCGCAGCGCTTGCTCCTCGTCGCGTGGATCCTGGGCTCCATCGCGGCGTTCGCGGCGCTCACGGCGGCGGCGCAGGGCCCGCTGCACCGCACGGCGGCGACCATCGGCGACGCCCTGGGCGACCTCGAGTCGTCCTTCGCGACGATCGACGGCCTCAGCGACGACCTCGTCGACGTCGCCGGCGCCGCGAGCTACCTCGCGGGCAAGGTCGTCTGCCCGAGCGCGCCGGACGTCGCCGGGGAGCTCCGAGCCGCCGCGGCCGCGTTCGTCGACGAGGCCGGCGACGTCAAGGGCCGCACGGACGGCGTCGCGGGGTCCGCGGGCGACGCGGAGGAGGCGGTGCGGACGCGGCGCTACCTCGTCGACGCGGCGCTCCTCGCGTCCGTCGCGCTCGTCGCGCTGGCGCTGCCGCCCGCGGCCTACGGCGCGTGCTTCTCGAGCGCCTGGGTCATCGACAAGGTCGCCGCGCGCTACGCGTTCTTCGTCGTCGCGCTCCTCGGCGGTCTCGTCGCCGTCGAGTACGGCGGGCTCGTGAAGCTCGCGGACTTTTGCGTCGCGCCGGACGCGAACGCCGTCGCGCTGCTGGACCGGCGCCTCGACGTCGACGCCGACGCGGCGGCCCTCGCGGAGTACTACGTGTCCTGCGGCGGCGCGAACCCCCTCGTCGCGCCCAGGGCGGGACAAGGGTGATTCAACGTCGCTTCAACGTGAGTGTTCCGCGCGCGCGCGTTCCCGGAAAAACATCCACGCTTCGAGACCGTTCCGAGAGATGATCGCTCGTCCAAAAATCAGCCGAAACGAGTGGAGAACGGCCGAGAAAGGAGCCTTTGAAGTTGGGAATTTCGCACTCTTGTCCTGCCCAGGTCGCGCCCCTGAACGCGTCGCTCCGGGACGTCTACGACCTCAACGCGACCGTCGCCGCGGCGCTCGGCTCGGGCCTCTGCGCGCCCGCCGCGGCGCTGCGGGGGATCCAGCGGGCCTGCGGCGACGCGCTCGGCGTCGTCGCGGCCTTCCAGGACGCGGCGTCCTGCGACGAGCTCAACCCCATCTACCACGACGTCGTCCACGACACCGCGTGCCGGGACCTCGTCGAGGGCGCCCACGTCATGGCCACGGGCCACGTCGTCGCCGCGGCGCTCCTCTACCTCTGGCTCTACGTCGCCAACTACGTCAGCGAGACCCTCTTCCTCCTCGAGGAGCTCACGGACCTGGGCTGCGAGGTCCTCGCGACGCCGCGGCACAAGGAGGCCCACGGCGCCCGGAACCTCGAGGCCGAGCTCCGGCGCGTCTGATCGCGCGCTAATCTTCGTCGCGCGCGCCTCGCGCGCGCCCGGCCGGGCGGCGGCGGCGGCGGGCGGCGGCGGCGTCGCTCGGCTCAGGACGCCTTGGCCGCGGTCTCGCAGATGACGTCCCAGATCTTCTTGGGCACGGGGATCGTGCCCGCGGCGGCGTTCGTCGCGGCGATCTTGTTGCTCGAGTCGCCCGGGAGGCGGACGCCGTCGGGGTGGCTCTCGGCGATGGTCTTGATGATGGCGGCGGCGCGCGCCTCGAAGCCGTCGACGTGCGCGTTGGGGTCGATGGCGATGACGTGGTGGCCCCAGTTCTTCGCCGCGCCCTTCTTCTCCATGCCGAGGACGGCGCCGCCGGAGAGCGCCGCGCAGAGGAGCTCGACCATGAGCGCGATGCCCACGCCCTTGTGGCCGCCCCAGTTGGCGATCGCGCCGCCGCCGCCGCCGACGGGGATGTCCTCGACCTTGGTCGTGTAGTTGCCCTCGGCGTCGTAGGCGCTCTGGTCCGGCAGGGGCAGGCCCTTGGCCTTGCACGTGAGGACGCCGAAGAGCGCGATGGCGGCCGTCGACATGTCGAAGACGAAGGGCTCGCGGCCCTCGACGGGGCACGCGAAGCAGAGCGGGTTCGTGCCGAAGGTCTTGGCCGCGCCGGCCTTGGCGGCGACGAACTCGGGCGAGTTCGCCGTGATGATGACGATGCGGCCGGCCTTGGCCGCCCGCGCGCCGTAGTACGCGAGCTGGCCGGACGACGTCGACGTGTTGTAGACGGACACGGACGCGACGCCGCCGGCGGACTTCTTCACGGCGAGGTCGACGGCCGTGACGAGGCTCAGCATGCCCGGCGACTGCTTGCCGTTGACGACGGCGGCCTTGGACCACCAGTACCTGCGCGCGCATCGACCGCCGATGTTTGGACGCATCGATGGCTCTCGTCGAGTTCTCGAAGCACGGCGGAGGTGCTCGTGTCAAATACGCGCACATTGAAGTCGGCTTGAAGATGTGAGTCGCGCGCGGACCGGCACGCGCCGCGCTCGACGACGGGCTTGCCCGCGTTCGGCGCCGGCGCCATCAGCGACGGGTTGAACCTGCGGCGGGCGTTCCGGGTCCGCCCCGCGGCCCGGCGCGCGAGCGAGCGCGTCGCGGCGCGGGGCCGCGCATCTTCACGAGGCCCTGGTTGTTGCCGCAAGCCTCACTGCTGCACATGATCTCCGCCTGGACCTTGGCGCCCTCGGCGTCCCAGCCCACGGACCGGAGCGCCGCCGTCGTCTTTTCGAGGGCCTCGGCGTGGGACACGGCGACGGTCTCCTCCGACATGGTATCAAGTTTCGGCTGCGGGCGTCGTCGGTGGATCGCGTGTTGGCAGCTATGGCGTCGATTGCGCGAGCTCGCGTGTGGCCTCAACGTGACGGAGGTGAATTCAACACCGCACGTGACGGGGTAATGCCCGCCGGAGCCAGCAGCCGACGCGAACGCGCCCCCGGAAGGCACGGGGAGACCCGCAGGGCCCCTTACCCGTCCTTGTCCATGACGGAGTCGGCGAGGGCCTGGAGGAGCGTGTCCGCGTCTCGGACGCGGACGAGGCGGACGTGGCCCGGCGTGTACTTGTCCTTGAAGGTCACGGTCGAGGGCGCGAGCTTGCGCTTCTCCCACTCGACGTCGACCTCCTCCTCGACCTCGCCGACGGAGACGTCCTCGCCCTTGCGCTGCGTGAGCGACCGCCGGCGCTGCGCGAGGCTCAGGCCCGCGTTCTTCGTGCACACGTAGACGAAGACGCCGGGCTTGTCCGGGAGGGGCACGCAGTCGACGCGCCAGGGTAGGGACTGGTGGTGGAGGTGGGGCATGCGCATGGCCGGGGACCCGTAGGACCTGCGCCGGAAACGACCGGTGGCGCGCCCCGTCCGGCGAAAGCTGCGAACCTCTCTTCGCTCGGTCGCGTCGGCGTCGATTCGACCGATGCTTCGCAGTGTTCTCTCGGCGAGTTCTTTTGAGACAAAAAAACATGTCGACATCGTGCAACAACCATGCATGTTGAAGTCGCGTCGAACGTTCGCGTGTCCCGCCCGGCGGCGGACACGCAGACGAAGAGCCGGCCCGGCGCGAGCACGCCTGTGCCGAAACCAAATCTTCAACCCGACTTCAATGTGCGCGTACGCGACAGTTTTGACGCAAGCTTTTCGGCTGTGCTTCGAGAACTCGACGAGAGCAATCGATTCGTCCAAAAATCAGCCGAATCGACTTCGATTTGACCGAGCTAGAGAATTCTCAAGTTTGGTCAGGACCACCCAAACCAGTGGTTGGTTTCGGCACAGGAGCACGCGGCACACCTCCTGGTTCATGCGCAGCACCTCCTGGTAGGAGTTGAGCGAGCTGAAGAGGCTGTCGAGGCACGCCTTCTCGACGATGAGGTGGAAGTAGTCGTCGGGGTAGCGGTCCATCTTCCGCGCGTCCATGACGAGGTACTGGAGCCTGCGCGGGGCGACTCGGCGTCGCTTCGACGCGAGCGCGCCGCGCGCGCGCGCTCCGGAAGGAGCGTCCACGCGTCGAGACCGCTCCGAGCGACGATCGCTCGTCCAAAACAAGGCCGAAACGAGCGGACGGCGGCCGAGCGAGGCGCCTTCGACGTCGGGAAGGTCGCGCCCGTGTCCCGCCCTGGCTGGAGCTGCGGGTTGTCCTCGTAGCGCGCCTGCATGAAGCTGATGACGACCTTGCCTGTGGCGGGGGCGGGCAGCGTGGCCCGCGCGCGGCGAGGCGGGGGGCCGCGCGGGCGACGCGCAGACGTCGACGCTCCAGATCATCGAGAAGCCCTTCGCGAAGAGCTGCTCGCTCACGAGGCTGTTGCCGCAGCCGACGACGAGGGTCCGGTCCGTCGTCGCGGCGAGGTCCTCGCCGCCGTAGGTCTCGATGACGGGCCAGAGGTCCTCGAGGTCGCAGTACCAGTCGAAGGAGTAGTGGCTCCCGTGGGCCTTGCGCTCGGCGTTGTAGCGCTGGTCCCAGTAGTAGGGCTCGCCGTAGGGCAGCGCCTCGTCGGGCATCTTGATGGCCATGGCGCGGACGCGGGGCGAGCACGCGCCGGCCGCGCGTTGCGAGGCGGGCTGCCCCGCCGCCGGCGCCGACGCTCTTAATGTTTGAAACGGCACCTTGACGGAACCATACGATACGATGGCTTTTTAAAAACACGCTAGGCCTCCTCGGCGTGCGTGTCGGCGAGGGCGAGGAGCTCCGCGGTGAGGTCGGCGAGCTGGTCCGCGTCGACGCCCGCGCGCGCCGCGGCGGCCTTGGCCGCGCCGGTGCGCTTCGCGCACGAGGTCGCGAGGTCGCGGAGCGGCGCGGCCGCGGCGGGCCCCGCGGCGCGGAGCCGCGCGGCGGCCGGCGCGCCGTCGTCGGGCGCGCGGTCGCGCCGGGCCCAGAAGAGGCC